TAAAAGACATCAGAGTCTATAAAATAGCCCGATGTCTTTCAAATAGTTAAATAATGCCTTCGAATCCACGGAACTGAAAAGTGTTTTCATATCCGGGACTCGGAAGTAGTTATCACGAATGTGTTTAAAATCGGAACATTCTATTAAAAAATGCTCCACTGTAAATGGAGTGTCACATGCGTGGCATGAAGGTATATCTTCTCGTTTTAAAAGGTACGAATGAGTAGGATATGTGTGCCCAGTGCGGAGCCGAGCGAGGACAACTTCCTCTCTACGATCTTTCCGACTGGGAATAGATGTTTTAAGTTTCGGTTGTATCTTAAAAAGTTTGTTGTTGGTCTCCAGAGACCAGCGTTTCTGCCATTCATTTTGAATGGCTGTACGAATAGTAGGTTTAAAATCTGTGTATGGTAGTTTGATATTTGTTTGTTCGAGATTCAATGCATTTTTTGCTTCCCTGTCAGCAAATTCGTTGCCTTTTATTCCGACATGGCTCGGAATCCATAGTAAAGTTATTTTAGACTTTTTTAATATACGAGATATTCGAAGAGCAAGGTTTTGTACGATTGTGTTTTTAGGATCTCGTAACTGTAAACTCTGTAGGACAGATAGAGAGTCTGAACAAATGATTGCCTTTTTAATGCGGTATTCATTGATATGGTCGAAGGCCTAACCAATGGTGCATGCTTCGGCAGAAAAGACCAAAGGTGCCGTTTGGTAGTCGAACTGATGTCCAAGAATTAGCAGTACAGCAGGCTGCTGCCACTTTCTCGCCTTCTTTGGAACCATCTGTGTAAAGTTGTGTATGAGAGGGGTAATTCGAAATGCATTCCCGAAAGGAGGACTTGATTTCCCTCGTCCAAGTTATGTTAAGTTAAAAATCAGGTGTTTGAATGGTCCACAGATATGTTAAATTCAGCTATGTCAGTCAACTTAATGTTGAGTTCTTGCATGAAATTTGAAATTCTGATACCAAATGTTGGCAGAAGTTTTTGGTTTTGCATAAATATGTTTTGGTATTTTGGGTTGAATACTTGGTCGAAAGCAGGATTTTTAGGGTTGGATTTTAATTGAGCCGCAAACTGTAATGCAAGTTTTTTCCTTCACCTACAGGTTTTTTACAGTTGCTGTTCGAAAATCTCCAAGGGCTAGACGTAGCCCTTGGTTATGGATTGGGTTGAGCATCTTCAGGTACGAACTGCGCACCGACCCGTATACCATAGAACCATAATCTAGTTTTGTTCGAATAAGTGATCTGTTTAGGCGCAAAAGCATTTCACGGTCCACTCCCCCAATCAGTATGAGAAACGACTCTTATAATGTTTAACGCTTTGGAACACTTATCCTTCAGAAGATACTTTATATGTGGTATGGAAGAGAGTTTTCGAATCCAAAATGAGACTGAGGAATTTAGACTGTTCAACAACAGGAATTCTAGTGCCATCGAGTGTAATGTTTGGGTCATTTTGTGCTTTTCCATTTAGACAGAAATGCATGAACAGTTTTAGATTTAGAGAATTTGAAGCCGTTTTCGTCTGCCCAATTTTGTAGTTTGTTTAAACTCTGTTGAAGTTGTCGTTCTATCGTGTGTATGTTCTTAGATCTGTAACAGATCAAGAAGTCATCCACAAATAACGATCCTTTTGTTGATTGACCAAGACATTTGACTTTATCATTGATTTTAAGACAAAACAGGGTGAATGATAGGATTCCACTCTGTGGGACCCCCATTTCCTGTTTAGAAATTTCAAAAACGTTGAACCAACACGGACTTTGACGTGTCTATCCGATAGGTAATTAGATATAACGTTGGGAAGGTTTAGGTTTCCATGTACGCAAAGGTCGTGAACATCTTTCATGATGCCATACTGCCATGTAGTATCATAGCCTTCTCAAGATCAAAGAACACGGCAACAAGGTGTTCCTTCTTGGCGAAAGCCTCTCGAATGAATGTCTTGAGTCTGATGAGATGGTCATTTGTCCATCTTCTGTTTCTTAAACCACTTTGAAGGGGGGATATTATATCGTTGGCCTCAAGAAACCAAACCAGTCTTGTGTTTATTATTCGTTCTGAATTTTTACATAAACAACTAGTCAGAGAAATAGAACAATAGTTGTTTGGGTCAGTAGCATGTTGGTGACTAGTCCGGGAAGTGCTTGAGAAATTGATATGGAATACAGAGCTGCCAACCTTAGAGATTAAGAAATAGTAATCTGCGATCGCTTTTTTACAAACATGTATTCGTTACCTTTTATTGTTTTTCTAGTGCGTTTTCTAAACGTCTGAATGGACAATTTCCTTTTTTTCCTAGGAGAAACGTCTTCTTGCCAGTCCAGTTTGACACGTTTTTCCGCCATTTTACTTTCTACAAACGTCCTTTTCACATTGAATTAAATCCAGCCTATCTCGAGAATCGATGCAAACGCACGTGTGTATCTGATTTGCGATTATAATACTGAAAACGGACATCGGGACCGGATTACGGTGAAACTAACAAAAAAACGGAAAAATTCCGGATTTTTTAAAAAAATCGTAATTTTACTTGGAAAATCGTACTAGCGTAATTCAGACCTCAAAATCGTAATAATTACGCCTAAATCGTAAGAGTTGGCAGCTCTGGGAATATCATCAGGACCTGAAGCAGAGTCCTGTGATTTTCTAAGCGTATCAACAAGTTCTGGAAGGGTAAAAGGGTCTTTTAACTTTCTTTGTTTGATGATTTGAAATAAGCCGTTTCTTTTCCCTTATTTCTTTAAAGACTGGAACTTTCTGGGGTGGTTTAAAGGGGATGAGTTTTTAGCTATGTTTTTTTGCAAATGCATCAGCAATCTCAGACCTTAACAAACAAATTTTGTTTTTATTAACTCATTGACCTGTTGACGCTTTTACGCGTTCCGTTTTCTACTGCTCTCTCCTGACTGTCGCGTATCGTCCGTGTTTGATTTCCCGAGAGTCGCTTATAAGCGACATTTACGATTGGTTTAGAAAATATGTTTGTTTGTTTGATTTTGTTTAACGTCCTATTAACAGCTAAGGTCATTTAAGGACGGCCTCCCCTGTGTGCAAGATGCATGCGTGTAGTGTATGCCTGTGTATTTTGGGAGGCTGCGATATGTTCGTGTTTGTCTCCTTGTGATAGCGCATGCTTCAGCAGAAAAGATGGAGGCGCCGTCTGGTAGTCGGACTGAAGTGCAAGTATTAGAAGTACAGCAGGCTTCTGCCACTTTCACACCTTCTTTGGAGCTATCAGAATGCACAAAGGGTTTCAATCCACAGGTTCACATTTCATCTACATTAATAACATCCATCTTGAACCTGGAGAGTGTCCACCTTTTGCATGCTGATGGAAATATCCGACATAATGGTGAAATCCCAGCAACAGATGAAGACATGTCTCCTACCTTAGAGTGCTTACTTGGCTTAGGTTAATTCACAAAGACTTCCCATCTCTTGTGAAACAGCGCTACAGTACCGTGCTAAGATCTCAAACGCTTGCGTCTTTGGAACCTGAAATTTCCCAGGCTCTCGATAGCTTGTTGGATGAAATCCATGCATCATCTGAGTCTAAGGTCCTATGAACAGTCTTTCGAAACCAACCTAAACCTAGACTTCCGAACACAGAATCCTGTTCCACTTCATTTCCACCAAAACGTCCTAGCAAAACTTGCGTTTTGTGTAAACAGGCCGGACGTGCAAATACCAAACCATTTAAGTGCATTCGAATTTTCCCCAGTAGAGGACCGTCGTTTTATGACGAGAGCTCGCCAACATACTCTCAGGACGCGTACGATTTTGTCGATGCCAAGGAGTACGAGAGGGACGCTGAGAGCGACCCGGGTCCCTATCATTACCAACAGGCAGTAACTTTAGCCCGACGTGAAATCACTAAACAGTCACCTCAAATGAAAGTGTTCCTCCAACACAGTCCTATCCAAATCACTTTGGACACCGGTGCCGAGGTTAACATGATAAAAACACACGTCGCTGAGCAGATAGGTGCTTTCTGTCGAGTTTGATGATCTTAAATAAACAACAAGTACTAGTCTGTGATCACGCCGCCTGTCTTTTAGTGGTTTGAGTTCTAGTCTGTTAACATGGATGTTACACTGCTTTCTCTTTGATAATCTGACAGAATGAATCTTGCTGCACGCCTTTGTATTTCCTTGTACGTGTAAGGGTCCAAGATGGTGGAACTATACCCCAATACAGATCTAATTAGGGACTTAAACGCACACACTTTCAGATCCATCAGACATTTCTTCAGATTTCTCTGAAGGAATCCCAGTGTGGAGTTGGCACGGTTGGAAAGTTTGCTAAATTCAGGGTGTTGCTGAAGATGATGCGGAGGTATGGGTTGTCAGTTACCTCTTCTTCAGAGTGAAGCGAGAGGCTGATGAAGATTTTGAGTGATGGATCCTCATGATGTAACATTTGCTGGCGTTAAAGGAAATGTCCCACGCTGATGCTCATCGTTCTAACGATTTTAAATCTTCTTGAAAGTCTAAGTGATCCTGGACAGTTCTTATCGTCTTATTGTAACCAGGTGTAAGCGTACGTGTCCCCATGTACGCGTATGTACGTACGTGCATGGGCGAGATATTTACCTATCCTCGCACCGGTGTATGTGGCGTGACTCGATGATACGACACCTCACAGAGCAGACGTATTACCCTTCACTGATCCCAGCTGTCTCCTGGTACAGGTCCAGTACACTCTGCCGATTGAGCTATATAGCTATAAAGACATATATAGCTATATACACCTATAAATTATAGCTGTATTGAGCTATATTTTCTCAGATTTCAAATTTCATTAAATTAAATTAAAGTCGCATAAAACAATAAGGTTTATGGTAATGTTGACTACAAAAAGCATACATGTAGATGTTTATTTTCATTTTTCATAAATGTAAAATTTCCGATTTTTTTACATAATTATTTTTTAAAAAGAATACCCATATTTAATGTCTTTTGTTATCAACTTAATGATACAATCTTCTTTTAAAAGCGACTTTGTTTCGTTTTCCTTAAAAAAGAAAATCAATTGAAAATCGCTCTAAAGACCTATTTCACATAGTTGAAAAGAGCTATTATAGGTCTTTACAGCTATAACGCTCAATCGGCAGAGTGTACTGGACCTGTGGTAAGTCATTGTAGATATCATTACTCATATTTCACAATGTCTATTTCATATCTATTCCACTTCTCATTTATACATTGTATGCAAGTACCTGCAATGCGTTATTCGTTTTGCAGGCTCTCGTCTATGGAATAAACATATTAATGAAAGAAAACCTTCGACTTATAACTCATTTGTGGTTGAGAAAGGGGTACAAATGGCGCCCAACGTGGGGCGCCATGTGTACCCCAAGAAGACAGTCGTCTGCAAATAACCTCACGGTGGATTTCACTGCTAGTGGAAGGTCATTGATGATGCAGAGGAAGAAGAGTGAGTGGTCCGAGTATTGTCCGTCCCCGACCCGTATGAAAAACGTGCGTAAAACTGGCGTTTTCTTGCGGCGTTTTTCATCCGTAAGGGTAAACACCGGTTTTACATACGTACGTATTTTCGCCTGTAAAACATGCGGGGTCCTCAACATGCGTTTTTTCCCTGTGTAACCCTTTGGGTCGATATGGTTGTCCTCTTCTTCTTCTTCTTCCATTTAAAGCGGCAGATCTCTGGGCTGGGCTATATCTACAGGCAGAGAATTCCATGTACTGATAGTTCTGGGAAAAAAGAATTTCGATATTTGTCCGAATTAGTAGAAATTTGTTGCGAGTTTGTGGGCTAGTTCGGCCGTCTGGCACTTTAACATGATCATTAGGGGAGATGGCTACTTTGTCATTTAGATTTTGTACATCATTGTAACCCTTACTTTTGCTCGTCAGGCGCATAGCTGCCTATACGCGAGTACGCAGCTGAATCCACATTATTTTGACAACAAAAATTTTTTTTAGTAAAAAAAATGTGGTTTGAAATTCAGCCGCGTTCGCCAGATCTGATAATTACCACACTGAATACTTTATAAATCATATAGCCTAAATCGTACACCATACCGTAGTATTTTTTTGAAAAGTTGTCGGCCTTTGCAGCTCTTCAAAGTCGGAAGTTTGCACGCGCCGTATTTTCGAAATGTAAACAAATGTTTACATCGAGTTCTTAAAAAAGTCATCAGCAGAATCAGCGATAGAAAAGAGGTAATTATAACTAAAATGTTACTATGTATGCCTAGTGTTTATTTGTTTCGGTCTGTTTGTTGAGTAATGACATGTTTGACCATGTCTGTGAACCGATTCTAGCGAGACTGACAACATTTTGAACTAACCAACCTTAATCAGTGAATTCATGATGCAAATGTGAAAAATTCTGGTGCATTTGTCGTATTAGTTACTCTGCATTTTTGAAATAGTTCCTTCTTGGTAGATTAGTTATATTGATACATGGAATTTTTATGAAAAAAACATTTCTGGTAAACACAACGCTCGTCATTTTTTTCATCTACGGAAGCGCATAAAGGTCAAAAGTATTCCGATTTCATACATGTACGGAGCCACAATTTATTCTTCCAGGTTCTAATTACGCAAGAAATATGGCACAGAAGAGAATTGACAGCTTCTTCAGCGTAGGTCCAAAAACTGGGCTGTCTGAAAAAGGCACCGATGCAACCGAGCCTAGTACATGTATGTTTACTTTAACATGCTTTTAACATAAAAAGCTACAAACAATAGTCAGTACATGTTAAGTTATACATGTATAGTTAATGATGACAACAATTGTAACTTTTAATTTTGTTTAAACTTTTCAAGATTCAAGGACAGTATGATTTCAAACTTTTACATTACATTCATTGCAATCCATGCTTTAAATATTCGAAATCAAATTGATTCTATAGTCAATTTTATGCACCAAAAATTCTAACACTTGTCCAAGTATCGTCATATGTATTCCATATGTATATTTATAGCGCCCGGTACGTCTGGTGTGAAGGAGGGTCCTGAACCTATGACTTTAGATAAAGATGAGCTCGTGGGGATTGCGTACAGTCCCGATGACTTGTATCCTGATCCAGCAAGGTTAACAAAGGCTTCAGATGACTCGATAAAAGTGAAAGTGCTGCAAAACAACAAAGAATGGGCCAAAACTTTTAAGTTTCCGTCAAGGTAAACTGATTCTGATTCATTTGATTTAAAGATGTGAAGTTATAACGGTTGCAGATCAATAGAAAATTGTAGTTTAGTCAACCAGTATTGTATAGAAAAATACCGTTAAAATCTCTAAACACAGTCCCGAGGTCTCAAAATCGATGGTTTATGTTGAGGTCTTTTTGTGAGTGGTACATGTGGGAAAATAGACGCAAGCCCGTCTCTTACCACTCGATTGTAAACCCATATTAATATACTGCTTCTTCCACTTGTTCGATGTTTGGTTCCATTATAATTATATTAGCGCGCTAATGACATGTTTACTATATAATTAAGACGAATAAAGTATAGTGAATATACTCATATATCTGATAACGTTATTGAAGTACCAGTATCATAAGTATACTAGTAAGATACTAGATATATACTATTAAAATGGAATCATTTGCTTCCCTGCTTTCCGGATTTCTACGTATTTGGTTGCAAAATTGTTCCATTTCAAGTTCGTACACTATTTCTTTATTTTATTATTTCAGTATTGAGTATGGAACGAAGCGTCAGTTCTCGGTAGATTGGCTAGAGAAGTATGACTGGCTTCGATATTCAGTTTCCGAGAATTCAGTGTATTGTGCTCCCTGTATTTTGTTTGGTGCTTCATCTCCAAAGGAGAAAACATTCATCAATACCCCAGTATCAAAATGGTCTAACCTTGGAAAGTACATCAAGAGACATACCGAGCCTGGTTCGAGTCATCATAGCTGCTGCGCTAGTGCTAGTAGTTTTATGAAAATCATCGAAGGGAAACAAGCAAGCATTACAGCACAACTGTCGAGAAACAAAGTCGAAACTGTTGCTAAAAATAGACAGGTGCTTAGATCTGTTATAGAGGTCATCATTCTGTGCGGTCGACAAAATATTCCACTTAGAGGTCATGATGACAACAATAGTAACTTTACTGTCCTGTTGAAAGACAAGGCCAACAGGGATGAAATCCTGAAAACACACCTGTCCTCTAAATCTAAGGTTACTTACACTTCGCCTATGATCCAAAATGAATTAATCACTTTGTTGGGAAATAACATAAAAGGCAAGATAGTTCAGCAGTGCAACGATGCTATTTGTTATTCATTTCTTGCAGATGAAGCTACTGACGCGAGCACTATGGAACAAATTGCTATGTGTGTAAGATATTATTCTGAAACTGAACAGGACGTGCGTGAAGACTTTGTGGGATTTGTGCAAGCAGAATCTACAACAGGAGAGGCTCTTTTTAACAAGTTTATTGAGGGGCAGCGGGACGCAGGATTAGACATCTCCAAGATGAGGGGACAAGGGTATGATGGGGCCAGTAATATGTCTGGTTGTCATCGAGGTGTGCAAGCTCGGGTCCAGCAAGTAGTTCCCCAAGCAATGTATGTGCACTGCAAAGCCCATAGCCTTAATTTGTCAATTGTGCATGCCTGTAAAGAGGCACTCGTCAGAAACTTGTTGGACACAGTACAACAAATCGGATTTGCTTTCAAGTACTCTGCCAAACGTCTTTTAGCTTTCAAAGAGGAGCTTGGCAACGATCCCGTGGCACAGGAAGAGATGCAGAAGAGAACACGTCTTCAAAGTCTGTGTGAGACGCGATGGGCTAGTCGGGCTGACGCACTTTACACTTTCAAAGCTGCATACACATCAATTGTAAGTGCACTGGAGGTGCTAGAACGAGAGGGAGACTCAAAAGCACGGAGCTACAGATGCAGTATCCTTGGGTTCGACTTCATCATCTCTCTAGTTGTGGTTGAATTCGTCCTCCAGGGTGTTATGCCTCTAAACAAGCTGCTACAGAAGCAGAATATCGACTTGATCGAAGCAGCCAAGGAGAGTCGAGTTCTTATAGCCACATTTCGTGCAGAGAGAGCCGATGATGCTGTGTGGGATGGGCTTTACGACAAAGCAGTTGCCATGGCAGAAGACCAAGGAGTCGAGCCTTCAAAGCCTAGAACAGCTCGACGCCAACAGCACCGTGGCAACGTGCCTGCCGACTCTGTTTCGGAATACTGGAAAAGAGCATTGTTCTATCCATTTCTTGATCATCTAGTTGTGGAACTAGAAGACCGTCTTGTATCCAGCAATGAGAGGTTTAAGGCTCAATATCTCATCCCAAGCCTTCTTCCTGAGCTCAGCCGAGATCACGAGGATTCCATCTTCCAGGAGTATGAGAGTGACCTCAGTGGGGATCGGGAAGCCTTCCGAAATGAGGTTTCTCGATGGAAAGTAAGATGGGAGCTGGAGGGGACAAAACCCTCAAATCTTACTGACACATTGAAGGCTACGAACAAGACTCTGTATCCAGACATCTTCACCTGTCTAGTTGTACTAATTACGATGCCAGTGTCTACCGCTACCGCCGAGAGGCAGTTTAGTATCATGAGACGCCTGAAAAACTACATGAGATCAACGATGCTCACAGAACGGATGTCTGGACTAGCCCTGTTGCACGCCTACAGACACATGGAAATAGATATTGATATTATCATTAACGAGTTTGCGGCCAGCAAAGGCCGCAAGTTAGACTTGCTGTGAAATGTAGACTAGTTGAAATAAACGAAAGTAAAGCTATTCATCTCCATTTTTATGCTAAAAGAAATCGATTTTCGTTGGTCAAGAAAGCTCTCCGGAGGTCCCAAAACGCACCAAATTGCACCATTTATTTCAAAATTTTCAGGGGGGGCATGATTATTTTGAATCCACATTCTTTATAGGCTAGCTACGCGCCTGCTCGTCTCTGTGCAAGTGGTTCCCAGGTCAGTGATTGTACCTGATGACACTTCCAGGTTTACGGGTCCTGTAGTTGTTATAGACATATCGAGCAGCCCTACGTTGGACGGAAACAACAGTACGAAGTTTTCTGTGGTGTATGGGTCCCAACATGTAGAGGCATACTCGATAGTAGTGTCATACTTGGGGCGAAACGAACTGAACATTGAGGCGATGTGATAAACTGAGGCAAATAAGTCTTAGGTGAAACGTTCGTAAATTGTTGTTATTTTGTATCTGTAATAAACTAACTTAGCTGAAACGAACCTTGGCAGTAAGCGACAATGAGATAGAGGTTAAGTAAATGACGGACGAAATGACTTAATTTCTTTACCAACTTTTATTTACATTTTCGTCCTTCTTAGAAATCCACATTAAGTTTAACAGCGTGTAGTTTTGTTGTTTCGTTATACATTCTTGTATATAATTCATTAATCATAAACAGTTCTAATAGTTATTCTCCTGTTATATCACCAGTGAAAAATATCTTCGATGAAGTGACTTGTCTTTTCCTTTCAGTGAAAAATTCAGACAAGTCGTCCCAGATGATAATGCATAGGTCGTGATAATGAACAAAACGTTCAGCAAATTATCCGACGAAGTTCTAAAGTGAAGAAGGCAATGGGTTTTACCCCGTCTCTTCCTGCACACATTGCACTGCTGATGCGTTTTTAAATGAACTCTCAAGCGTAAAGGTGTGAGGACAAAACCTGGAATGCACCACTGGGGAATAATTTTGGAAAATTTTCCTCGTAAAAGGGAAAAAAATTACCCCATTTGCGAGGAAATTTCCCAAAAGGCAATTAATTTTCCCTATTCCCGGTAGGATTCCCCCTTTTCTGTGAGATTTTCACCTTGGTCCGATGAAATTTCACCTTTTCGCCGAAATCGCCCCTTTCTGCTGAAATTCCCTCCTGGCGTAGCTCGACGGTCACCTTTATCTGTACACCCACCGACCGACCGACCAACCATGCTTGCCTGTAAGCGACAAGGGCGCCCGTCGGTCTATTAATAGATCTGGTGAGACGGCCTGGTTTACCTGTGGCGATACCTACCGTTGTTCAGCCAGTCGGTTAAATTGACCTATTTCCAGTTGCGCGAATAGAGAGAGAAAAAAAATAGTGAAGATTTATTTACGTTGAGTCAACTGCGTGGAATCTATACATACTAGGACTGTCCAAGCGCAAAATAACAGTAGACATACACGACAAAAAATATTCTATATTCTACTTCTGTTTCTCAATATCAAAGAATTTAATCGATTAAAATAACAATTTGAAGTCGGAACATAATAGTGGTCTTCGATACTTGGCTGTTTTGGGTTTTTTTCTTTTCTTACAACATGATTGATTAATTTTGTCAACATCTCGGTCCATAATGAATGTAGAAATATATCGTGTAACTTAATTAGAACTGACTGAGGTTGATATCGCAAATGGCACGAAATTTCTGAAAATGACATAAAAGAACACTGCTGAACTATGTTGCAGAGACAAAGTGTAGATAGCTTCAAGGTTTTTAAATCAAAAGTTTGTTGACACAGCAAATCAAAAGCGTGAAAAGCAATATCGACATATCTGCCGTTACCAAGTTTGGAGTCTCACATTAAATTCAGTGAAAAATCATGAAAACTGTTCAAAATAGGAGTAGGTAACTTTACTAGTATATTTCTGACTTCAATATTATTTAAAGATCTCATACATTTGTCATGAATTTTGGATACACATTGAAATTGAAGTGATGGTATGATTTATATATATATATGATTAAAACAAAAAGTTTGAATCTTCACATCCCAGACACTGTTGTTTCCTCGAAGTCCTTTTGTTTCCTCCGAGCGATGCTACAATTTGCGACCTCCTCCTAGACAGCTACATTCGTCATTATACCTCTTCGTAACTGTCCGATACAATGAAGACTTTTTTTTTTGGTTTGAACGCCAACTCACTGGGTCTTCTTTTCAGTGCTGGTTTCTCCTCTGGTAAGCAGGCCGCTACTGCTGCACCTGCAGACTCGTCATCTGCGATGCTATTCTGTTTCAAATATAAAAAAAATCAAAAAAAATCGAGGGCATCGAGCACGAGATATACATGAAGTGGAAATAGTACAGTAAATGTATCGGTCAACTAATTTGAAATTGTTCCTACTTTTAATTTTAAATCGCAGTGAAACACTACATTTTTAATTTGAAGTTGTTGTTGTTCCTCATGTAATAATACGCTGATAGAGTTTAAAAATAGTACATACTATATAAAATGCGATAAATACATACCTCTTTTTCAAAGTCCTGATTGACTTTCCAAATTTGCGGATACGCTGGCACAAACTCCTCCAACTCCTCCACTCCTAGAGTGAGTGTCTTCTTTTTCGCGTAATGCGATAGATGGATATGTGTATATCCGTTGTAGTTATTAATGGTAAAGGTTTTCCCTCTTCCAAACGAACCTGTCGCTTTGGTCATTTGAGCAATTTCGGTGGAGATTTTTACATCCATGCTGCTTATTTATGCTTAATCGGCGATGTGAGAGCTCTCTTAAAAATATGTCTCTTAAATAGGCTTACCGTGAGGATGGGAAGCTAATCTGATGTTGTGGGAACATTCACACGTACGACCATTTACTAATTCAGAATAGAGAATCCATGTCGTGTCGCAATCATTCTTCATATCTATTTATAAGGAAAGGTTAACCTTACGCAACATTAACCAATCAGCCTCGATTTATCTTTAATGCATGCTGATAATTTCTACAATGATGAGCGATGTTCAAAAAGAATTCTAACAGATTGTGATAATTGTCTACCGTATCCCTGCTGTTCGAATCCTTCTTTTTTTTTCATATTCTTGTACATGGGAAAAATACTCAAAAGTCACTCATCTAATGAACGTTAGTGTCACTTATGTATATACTTAATACGTTCCGGTCCTCCTTAAAAGCGTCTTCAAGTGACAACAAGCGTCGCCAGACAAAATCTTTTAAAATACTGATAAAGTAAGCGACATCAGAAGATACGTTATTCATATAACTATGATACACCTTTTATTGATATACATTCCAAATTTCAGCTCGATATTTGAAAAAATGATCGAGTTATAATTAATTTATTATTACGATCGGCGGTGTGACACACGTGTGTGAATAGAACTCAACATATGAAGAAGCGTCTTCAGAACATATCTCTAAAATTAATCGATTAAGTAAGCGACATCAGAAGATATGTTATTCATATAACTATGATACACCTTTATACCAAATTTCACTTAGATATATGAAGAAAATACTGAGTTATCGTGAATTTATTATTTTACAATCGTCGGCTTGGCACGCGTGTGTTAATAAAACTGTACAGATCAAAAAGCGTCTTCAGACATTACTTCTTAAAATAATTGATAAAGTAAGCGACATCATGAGATATGTTATTCTTATGACTATGATACAACTATATACCAAATTTTAATTTGATTTGTTGAAAAATGATCGAGTTATCATGAATTTAATTCATACGATGTACAGATTTTAAGCTATACGCCGTGCCACATTTGTGTACGTAGGGTATACGTAGGGCTTCGCATAGGCAGATACGTGTATGTGTTATACGTCTCTGACATAGGTGAACACAGTTAGAATATATTGCTATATAAACATTGATACACCTTTAATCAGCTGTGTCAAGAATAACATTATTGTATTTATTGAACAATTTAGATTTTAACTGTAACCCATTAAGAATAATTTAACAATGTGTTTAATTATATATATTTTTTTTATTATAAATAATATAGTGGGAGGGGGATGCGTAATTTTCGAGTTTCTCAGGTCTTTTTTAAAAAGATTGTGGCCCTGAAAAGGGCCGTTTAAGCAGGCGACTAGCTTAGTCTTTGACAGAACAACGCTAGTCGCTGCTCTTTTTATAGCACATATAACAATAGAAATAACTCAATGGTACGTACTTTCCTATTGGTAGACCAATATCGATCCACGTGTTATCAGTTATGCTAAGCGAAACAAAAAACCTTACCACTTAATCCACAGCCACAATTGGATGAGATTTTTGTACTGAAACGGTAATACTCGACCCTTGCAAGCGACGCATCCTATAAAAAACGTATAAGTTGGTTCGACAGAATGCCAGGGTTTGGCGATGAAGCGATGAACATTGCTATTGCAGAGTATTTAGGATTGTTTCCTTCAGAACCCTCTATCCAAGGCCGTTCTAAACGTACAAAACAAGAGTATCAGCGCGCAACCCTCGCTACAAAGGAGGCAATTCATGATAGGTTAATTAAAAAACAGACTTTGAAAGCCATTCTAGACGACATTAAGTCACTGGACGATTCTATGAATGAACCCAGAGACATGTCATCAATCTTTGGTGAAGATGGTTTATTGAATTGTGATTCAATAAAAGAATTCAATACCAATGCACAAAAGATTGATGAGTAATATGGACCAGGCTTAGGAAGATATTGGTCAAAAAAGATTTTACTAACGATTAAGCGCAGGGTGATTGAATCGAGATTGCGCAATGCTGCAATTTCAAAAGGTTGGAAAAACAACAATTGTGAATCGATGAATCACATCATCAAATTTCAAGGGGACTGGAAAATATCAAAAGTTCCCAAGCTGATTCAGCATTTGGATACCATTCAACAATCGCAGTACTATGACGTACGAATGGTATGTTAACAATACATAAAACCGCAACAATCGCCAAAAAACCAGGGACGCGAAAACGTGTTCTCGCGAATCGCACCAAAACGCACGGTCCTGTTAAACAACAAAAGTTGTAACTTAGTTACCTGCTGACAATTACGCTAAAAGAAGAACTTTTTTACGCTTTTTGAGAAACATTTATTCTTACGTATACAGACAAAATGTATTTGATACCGATATTTACACCTGTGTGCCAGTCCTTTCATTAGAAGTTTAAACCGATTTTATTTTTCAGCTTTACCTTTACAAGAATAACCATTAAAATTTGGTGTAGTATATATAAATTCATTTAAAACTATAGGGATTTTTTTTAAACATCAACATTAAATCAATCAGTCACACGAACATATAACGGACCCTGAGTAGAACCACGTCCACGTCCGTAGGGTCTGGTAACATGCTCGTTTCAAGAGTGTGGCTGAGAGTTCTACAATATAATCCGTTCTAACTGTGTTCACCTATGCGAAGCCCTACCCTACGTACACATATGTGACACGGCGTATAGCTTCGTNCAGTTTGGTGTATCATAGTTATATGAATAACATATCTTCTGATGTCGCTTACTTAATCGATTAATTTTAGAGATATAGTTTGAAGACGCTTCACAATCTGTTGAGTTCTATTCACACACGTGTGCCACACCGCCGATCGTAATAATCAAACTTATCATTACTCAGTCATTTATTCAAATATCTACCTGCAGTTTGGTATAAAGGTGTATCATAGTTATATGAATAACATATCTTCTGATGCCGCTTACTTTATAGATTAATTTTAGAGATATAGTCTGAAGACGCTTTACGACCTGTAGAGTTCTAATCACACACGTATGCCACGCCGCCGATCGTAATAATAAATTAATCATAACTCGATCATTTTTTCAAAAATCGAGCTGAAATTTGGAATGTATATCAATAAAAGTCTAACTAATAACATATCTTCTGAGGTCGCTTACTTTAGCGAGTAATTGTAACGATATTATCTGGCGAAGCTTTCTTCACTTTACATGCGAATACACACATGAGCCACGCCGCGATCGTAAAAATTCAATTCATCATAACTTGGTCATTTTATCGAATATCGAGCTGAAATTTGGTACAGAGGTGTATTATAGTCATATTAACAACATATCTTCTGATGTCGCTTACTTTATTCAGTATTTTAAAAGATTTTGTCTGGCGACGCTTGTTGTCACTTGAAGACGCTTGTTGTCGGTTGAAGACGCTTTTAAGGAGGACCCTTACGTTCCAATGAATCCAACTGAGATTATGATAATTGCTCATCAGACTCGAACGTGGGAAGTCATCAGATACGTTCGATTAATGATGCTTTTGATCTTTCCGTCCACATTGTGTTAGCCCTTATTCTAGCTTTTCGGAATCATTTCCCTTAAATTAACACGTTATATTTTCTCTCTCAATTCTTTTGTGATAGCGTGAAACTGATGCCGACTTTATAGTGCTACCTCACTGAAACATTCTACACGAACATATCGCAGCCTCCCAAAATACACACACATACACTACACGCATGCATCTTGCACCCAAGGGGAGGCCGTCCTTAAATGACCTTAGCTGTTAATAGGACGTTAAACAAAATCAAACAAACAAACAAATCTCTCTCAATTCTGACACTCATCTCTGTAGGCTCGTTTTTCTGTTAATATATTTATCACACCTACAGCAAACTGATTACTATCTGTCATTATGACATACTTTTACACATTAAATTTAGTAGCATTGGTAACTTTCATCCGTGAACCATGTCGGATTCGAACAATATTGTTACAGATATGCCGAGGTAAGTTGTTCTTTGTTTTTAGGTCACCTGAGCTTTGCTCAAGTGACCTATTCCAATCACTTTCCGTCCGCCGTGCATTGTGCGTAAACTTTTTACATTATCAACTTCTTCTCAAGAACCAGTGGATGGAATTTTTTCAAACTCGGTCAGAATCATCCTTGGTAGATGAGGCTACCGAATTGTAAAATTGGGATTCCTACCCCGACCCTAGGGCCCAGGGCGGGGCCCAAAAGGGAAAATAAGCCAATATTTCAAAAATCTTCTTCTCCAGACGCAGAGGTATTAGTCATTTTCTCTGCATGGATGGAAAGATCATCAGGGGCTTTATTTAAATTGTAAATTTCAGGACCCCCGAGCTATCCGTTCTCCCTTGGGAAGGGGCTAAAGTTTACTGTAGTTTATATAGGGAAACAACTCTTTTGGGTATATTTTGACAATTTTCTGTTGGAAATTATTTTTACTTGGCCAGAATCATCCTTGGAGGAGGAAGATGGTTTTAAATTGTAAAATTGGGATTCCTACCCCAACCCTAGGGGCCAGGGCGGGGCCCCAAAGGGAAAATTAACCAATATTTCAAAAATCTTCTTCTCCAGACTCAGATGTATTACAGTCATTTTCTCTACATGGATGGAAAGATCATCAGGGGCTTTATTTAAATTGTAAATTTCAGGACCCCCGAGCTATCCATTCTCCCTTGGGGAGGGGGTAAAGTTTACTACAGTTTATATATGGAAACAACACTTGGGTATATTTTGACAATTTTCTGTTGGAAATTATTTTTACTTGGTCAGAATCATCCTTGGAGGAGGAAGATGGTTTTAAATTGTAAAATTGGGATTCCTACCCCAACCCTAGGGGCCAGGGCGGGGCCCCAAAGGGAACATTTACCAATATTTTCAAATTATTATCCTTTGATGACATGACAAGTATTGTATTTCACTTAGTTTACATGCTGATTTCCACATCACATCTAAACAATAAAATAAAGCTACCAGTACCTATGATATAACTCAGGTGACCGCTAAGGCCCTTGGGCCTCTTGTATAAACTAACGATAGCATCAACAGGAAATTATTTCCATATTTGAATTTACAGACTCGCCTCCTCTGAGAGAGTTATCACATGGCTGAAAGAGCATGGATCAATCAAACGTAAACGTTTATTGAACAACTTCGAGGAATCAACACAAGCTGCTGCAAACAATAACACAGACAACGAAATTGGTTCTAGAGCAAAATCTCATTCAGTGGAAAGCAGCAGTTTAAGGTCGCACGGATTCCATCGTCCTTTTTCCGATGCCGAAACTGGAGAATTTGATCCAGAAACTGATGTGGAAGAGATATAAACAGTGAAACCCTTTTCGAAATAATGGAGACAAAAACTGTTGAAAGATTCAAAAACTTTTTATTAAATATCAATTGAGTTGCATTCCGATGACATCATCAAAGTTGATTTTTTTTACATTAGTGTAGCAATACTTGTGACTATCAAAATAAAAAAAAATGATAAAACATTGATACATTTCAATTGTCATTTATAGTCATACTACACCAACTTGATTGTACTGCATGCGTGTACATTTTTGGAATGTTGTCAATGTGTGTTCATCATTAACTATTCTATCAAAATTTACAAAACATTTTATAAAAAGCTAAATAACAACAAAAAAATCTCTACCGAGTATCGCTACATCTGCATCATCACATATATATAAAGTGATATTGCACCAACTTGATTGTACTGCATGCGTGTACATTTTGGGAATGTTGTCAATGTGTCTTCATCATTAACTAATCTATCAAAATTTACAAAACATTTTATAAAAAGCTAAATAACAACAAAAAAATCTCTATCGAGTATCGCTACATCTGCATCATCACATATATATAAAGATATATTGCACCAACTTTATTCTATTTTCAGATAACTTTTTTTATAATAAGTATAGCATACAGTTAAACCTTGTTTACTACCATCATTTGCTACCTCACATATATACTGTCAACTTATTTCTAATGTTTCTTTTTCTACCTATCACAAGAATTCCTTTACATTTCCCTCAGTTTATTGTTTAACCCTTTATAACGCCTGGATTTCTCTGAACAAATGATGGCAGTATAACAAGGTTTTGATGTATATGATGGTTTTCTTTTTCTTTTGCGTCTTCAGTTCTAAATTTTTAAATTAATCAATATCTAATGTTACGTTCAATTTGAAAATTCCTAATGTCTTAAACTTGTGTAGGTTGATCTTTCTGGTGGACGTCTGTTTCTCTTTGGTAGTTGTCGTTCAGGGGTAGCAATACTATTTCGTCTTGGCTGTTCAGGTCTTTCATTGTAGGACGTTAAACAAAATCAAACAAACAACAAAAATGTCAGTATTTCTTTTTGGTCGTCTTCGTTGGATCAATATGACTAAAATAGGATCACAAATTGTGTAGCTGAATTGCATATCTGTCAAAGATCACTTCTTCCTTTTCACAACACATCTTATGTCTTACGTGTACTAATAAATAGGAATCTATACATACATTCAAACTCTTGGAACATTGTATACAGAAATTCCCTACAGGTAATAACTCAAACTACGCACGTACATAGGAAAATCGATCAATATCACACCTTTCAATTATAAGCCTTCATTCTGTGAAACCTTTTTGATATATAATGACTGGGTTCCTTTCAACATTTCAGAGAAGGGCTTTCAATCGAATGATAATAAGTTTTTGAATAATAGGACAGCACAGACACACAAAAACCTATAGGACAATAAACCCTCTCACCGATTACAATAGATCTTCAAACATGTATAGAAATGCCCCACGGTTAACAATGTGATGACGTAGGCATGGTATAGAAATGCCTCACGCCCTCCTATGGAGAACAAAGGGTTATTATATCATCTTTTGTCCTAGCATTAACTGAATGACACTACTGGCATCTCCCGGCAGTTGGAGCACTGGCACCAACTTGGAACGTTTGATGGTCTCGGACGGCCCAGGATCTTCTGGCTCTGGTGGTGCCGCCGCATTCTCACACAAGTCGAATACCAGTCCAGGCTGACGATCCACCAGTCGGGGAACGAGCTCTCTCTGTGGAGGCATCCGTCTGATTAATTCCTACCAATAGAAACTGGAATTGTAAGCCAAAGGCTAGGCTAACTAATACCCTCCCCTGTGTGCAAGATGCATGCGTGTAGTGTATGTGTGTGCATTTCGGGAGGCTGCGATATGTTCGTGTTTGTCTCCTTGTGATAGCGCGGAACTGATGCCGACTTTATAGTGCTACCTCACTGAAACATTCTGCCGAAGACACCCACTAATTTTATTTCTTTGATTCAAATTACACTTACCCTGTTTTTGGTGTCGGCTCTGGGAATGTGGTTTTCTCTAGTGTGGTGGCCTGTGGTGTGGTTATCTTTGGTGCGGTGGCTGGTGGTGTGGTTATCTTTAGTGCATTGGCTGGTGGTGTGGTTATCTTTGGTGCAGTGGCTGGTGGTGTGGTTATCTTTGGTGCAGTGGCTGGTGGTGTGGTTATCTTTGGTGCAGTGGCTGGTGGTGTGGTTATCTTTGGTGCAGTGGCTGGTGGTGTGGTTATCTTTGGTGCAGTGGCTGGTGGTGTGGTTATCTTTGGTGCAGTGGCTGGTGGTGTGGTTATCTTTGGTGCAGTGGCTGGTGGTGTGGTTATCTTTCGTGCAGTGGCTGGTGGTGTGGTTATCTTTCGTGCAGTGGCTGGTGGTGTGGTTATCTTTGGTGCGGTGGCTGGTGGTGTGGTTATCTTTGGTGCAGTGGCTGGTGGTGTGGTTATCTTTGGTGCAGTGGCTGGTGGTGTGGTTATCTTTGGTGCAGTGGCTGGTGGTGTGGTTATCTTTGGTGCAGTGGCTGGTGGTGTGGTTATCTTTGGTGCAGTGGCTGGTGGTGTGGTTATCTTTGGTGCAGTGGCTGGTGGTGTGGTTATCTTTGGTGCAGTGGCTGGTGGTGTGGTTATCTTTCGTGCAGTGGCTGGTGGTGTGGTTATCTTTCGTGCAGTGGCTGGTGGTGTGGTTATCTTTGGTGCGGTGGCTGGTGGTGTGGTTATCTTTGGTGCAGTAGATGGTGGTGTGGTTATCGTTGGTGCGGTGGCTGGTGGTGTGATTATCTTTGGTGCGGTGGCTGGTGGTGTGGTTATCGTTGGTGCGGTATGGTGGCTGGTTGTGTGGAGGCCTGTGGCGTGGTGGCCTGTGGTGTGTTGCCTGGTGGGGAGAAAGGCAACCGCCTTCTGGGAGCAGCTGGCGTTGCCGGAATAATCCGTTTTCTGGCATTCTTTCTTTCCTTCTTGAGATCCGCCAGGTACTAAATTGGGAAGAAAATTCATAAGATCATTTAGGGCTATTCCAGTTTTGACGGGGGGGGGGGGGGGGGGGGGGGGTTTTTCGCCCCCCCCC